GGATTTGAAGTGTGTGTTGGAGGGATTTGAAGTGTGTGTTGGATGGATTTGAAGTGTGTGTTGGAGGGATTTGAAGTGTGTGGATTTGAAGCGTGTATTAAAGGGATTCAAGTATCGCATGTCGCCTGCAGGAGCTGCGTGATGGCTGAGGATGGGGGTATAAATCTCTCCGAGGCCCCCGCTTCTGGGGGCTCAGAGGGTCGTTCCTCTCTGCCGAGGACTTTCATCCGACTCAACGACCTGTCCGGGCTGGGGGCGGCCGGCGGGGGGGAGCTGGTGATGATGGAGTCCCCAGCGCTCGACGGGATCTCTGCGGCCGGGGATGATGGCTCGACGCACGGCGGGGAGCTGCCCTACCCCACGTTGGCCCCTGTGGTCTTCTTCTACATGAAGCAAAGCACGAGGCCGCGGAGCTGGTGTCTGAAAATGGTCTGCAACCCATATCCTTTTTTATTTCACTGGAAACCAGTTTGGAGTCTGCTCATGCACATACGTCTCTTCCCATCTGCGCCAGGTAAGGAACCCCCGCGTGGCTGTGCAGCTTTCCCAGGTGATCTCAGGGTGGTGGAGGGCACACCTGTTTGGATGCTTGGTAATAGCCAAATGTGTTGCTCAGGTGTTGGATGCCTCGTGCAACCCCCCCCCCCCCCCCCAGCAGTGCTGTTATTGTTCTGATTGTTTCTAAGGAGATGAAGAGCCTCAGGCTGGATGGAGTGAAGGGCCGTGATTCAGACCTGGACTGTGTTTATTCAGCTCATTTGGGGGTTAATGGCAGCGAGTGTGTGTATGTGTGTGTATGTGTGTGTGTGTGGTGGTGGGGGGGTGGGGGGGGTATTGATCATTCCTCTTACTGAGGTGGATTATTGATTCATAGAGGAAGAACCAACGGAGGCAGTGATGTCCCTCAGTTATCTTTGCTTCTCTTTCTGTTGTACTCGTCCTCCACACCTCCTCTGCTGTCCATCCATCACTCCATCTAATCCTCTCTGCCTCCCCGTTACATCCGACCACCTCTTCACCTCCCCTCATTTATCACCCCTTTAATTGAGACGAGCTGCTCGTCTCAAACTCCCCCTGGAATAGAGAGAGCGACTGCAGATGATGCACTCACACACTTTACTCATTCACTTCTTTTTTTCGTTCTTTTTGGTTCTTTTTTTGAGTTCTGTTTTGTTGTTTGGTTCTCTTTCTTTCTTCCTCCCTTCTTTTCTTCCTCGCCTCCTTCCTTTCTTTCTTTTGTTCTTAGTCATTCTTTTTTTTGTGGTTCTTTTTCATTGTTTTGTTCTCGTTCTTTTTTCTTCCTCCCTTCCTTGCTTCCTCCCTGGCTTCCTTCCTTCCTCTCTTCCTTCCTTCTTTCCTTGCATCCTTCCTTCCTTTCTTTCTTTTGTCTTCATGCAGGGACTCTCAGGGCTCTCAGCTGATGTCCATGTCTGTAAATGTCAGATCTTTAAAGGTCCTACAGGAGCCTGGTGGCTCCACAGGGAGCAAAGAGGCGATCTATGATACTTTTATTAGACTCTGGGATTCTCGAGCGTTTCCTTTTGTGGATCGAAGCTCTCACAGACACGCTTGTGTCAAGACAATTAATACTGTCTGATAAAAATAAAACATCAGATTTTGGTTTTAAACCACAAACAGCTCAGAAGGATTGATGAGCTCTGGCAAGGACAGTGATGTTTGAAGACTTTATAGTAGTGAGGGTAGGGAGCAGGTGGAAGACACTCTGCCAGCAGGTGTGGACACTGCCAGATAGTTCCATAGTCCTGACAAGAGATGGTGCAGTGTCTATCAGCCGGCTCAGCTCTGACACAGGTCCACAGATGTCTTCAGGAAGAGAGTGGGTGTAGATAGTTGTAGTTGTAGTTGTAGATAGTTTTTTCTGTTGCGTTAGTTTTTAGTTTAGGAGTTTGCATCATTTGTGTGTTTGCAGCACGTTTGCTGTGGGTTTAGCTGTTTGTGGGGCGTTAGCGACGTTAGCGTCAGCCACCGTACACAAGTTACATTGAGTCTGTGAAAGAAAAACAAAATGGAGCTGACAGCCCCATAGGAAGAGTAAAGCTTAGTGTCTTTTCCTGACACTGGTTTGAAATGATCCAAAACTTGATTGTCTCCAGGAAAACCAGCTGCAAAAATACCACAAACTGTGGAATCCCTCCCAACATCAAATCTTTTTTTTTTTTTTTCCTTTTTCAGAATTTTTCTAGACAAAGGACAGATAGATGCATTGTGCGTCCGGTCCTGCTGAATCAGAGCATTTACACATGCACGTGTCACAGTTTGCAGACGACATGTTATTTGCATAAATCATTAATTGAACGTGTTTTGTCATTATTTCCTGGCAGCGTGTGATTCTGCTCAATTGTCTGACATGGTTCTGTTTCTTGTCCTGCGTCACGGTGCAGGATGGACTGTTGGGAATTTTAAAATTCCATTTGTCTTTGTTGGACTGTGTGGTACAGGTGTCCCCGGGGCGGACGCTCTCTCTTCCAGTTTGCCCTTTATTGTGTGTCGATGCTAATTTAGGAAAAGGTCACTGATTTAGCAACTCTTTGTAAAGCTGATCGACGTTTGTCTCTGAGCCGCGGTGTGCCGGTGTGTTTGTGCACCGATGCGTTGGATCCCGGCGAGCAGAGAGAAGCAGTCTTAGTTATATTTTTACCTCTTCCTCCACTTGATCCGTGGCCCTCCTCTGCCTCTGCCTCTCCACGTCGTGTCTCTGTGTGCTCGCTCGCCTCATCCTGCAGTAGTCGCTCACCCTCCTGCTATAAATACCTCCACACCAGCAGCAGCAGCTTCTGATGCGCAGAGACAGCTTCCTGTGTCTGAAGCTGCAGAGCCACAACGCACGAGGATCCGGCCGAGCTCTGGGCCCGTCTTTTCTAAACAGGCAAATCCTCAGTAAGCCCTCAGCTTTGGCTGGTTTTCAGCCATTCTGGAGGGTCTCAAGTAATTAGAACTCAGAATACTTGTTGAGGTATTCAGGGTCTAATTGAACCCCCCTGGGGTCCACACAGTGAGTGATGTTTTGCCCAACACACTGCCTGCGTGAAATTCCCTCTCCCAGTTTCGCTAATTGTTCCTGCAAATCTGCGTCTGATAAAAAGTGAGGGCTTTTTTTATGATTGAGGGTTGTGTAACCATCTCACACACACACAGGACTCCCGTAGGTGTCTCCTCATTGACATGGAACCGAATGTCGTGCCAAGGCGGAGGAGGGGGGGGGGGGGTGTTTGGGAACAAATCCAGTGCTCTGCATCCTCGGCTCGCACTGATCTGAGCAGAGGATTACACCAGTGAGGGAGGACACCTGGCCAGCTGAGGTGTTTGTCATCATGTTTAAATCACGCTCAGGGGACCGGGTCAGTTTCAGTGGAATATGTTCCTGATTTGTGTTTTTGCTTCGGTTCCACACAACTGCCTTTGTGCATCAGCAAAGCAGACATTCTCAGATGCACCTGTCAACCAACGAAGGCCTTCCCCGTCTTCTCTTGCTGCTTTTTCTTTTTTCCTTCTCCTTCATGGAATGGAAAGTGAAACAGCGGTTGTACAGCTTTTTTTTGGGGGGGGGGGGGGGGGGGTGGGGGTGGGGTCACTGACAGCCACCAAAACCAGCGTATGATGAACAAGCACAAAGTAAAAGCCGAGGCTCCGTCGGAGAGCCAAGTGGGACTTCAGAGAGCATTTTTAAGAGGTGAGAAAGTAGGATTTCACTCACCAAAAACTTTACTTTCAGACCCCCCCCACCCCCCGCTACAGCTCATATCCCTCTCTCAGTTCCTCAAGGAGTTTCAGACATTTCCAAAAACCTCAGAACTCTTTATCAAAGGTGCAAAATGATCACATGAATGTTTTAAACAAGGAGAGAATAAAGTTTCCACGTTCTCCTTATGAATCATATGAGGTTGAAATAACCTCTGCTCAACAGGAAGGTCTGCTTAGTCAGCACTGTGTGGCCTTTTTAATGTGTGTGTGTGTGTGTTTGTTTCAGGTTATATTGTGGGGACCAATTTTACAAAAAAATCCTACATTGTGGAGACCAACTGCTCCTTGTGGGGACCAAAGCCAGGTTCCCATAATGATAAGTCTCGTTGGGGGGTTAAGTTTACTAATAGTTGCCTAGTACTAGTTTACCATTACTAGTACTGGGCATGTACTGGTAATGTTTAGGTTTAGAGAAAGGGTCAGGGTTAGGCTATAGAAAATGAATAGAAGTCAATGCCAAGTCCCCAAAAAGTACATTTACCAGAACGTGTGTGTGACTGTGTGTAATTTTTAGTCTTGTAATATCATCACTTATTGAGTAACGTTACTTGGCAAGCCTGTGATTAGAAGGTCACTGGTTCAACTCCCCGGACCAACATCAAAATGTGGCTGGGAAAGATGAAGCACCCACACCTGCTTCCACCCTATTTTGCCCCACTCTGGGCCCTTGAGTAAGGCCCTTAAGCCCCACCATCTTCTCCCCTGGGTGCCCTAGATGGCAGCTCTCTGCTCCACACAAAGGGCTGTGGTAGCTCAGTGGTCTGTTTTTTTTTGTTGTTGATGTTGTTGCCAAGTCTTCGTGTGAGTTAGTTCGCGGTGGCGACCCCAGAGGAAGGGAGCGGCTGAAAGACGATGTTTGTATTTTTCATGTAAAACACCTCTAAGAGGTGGTTTGTGTGTTTGATTGTTGCACATCAGTTTGTTCCTTCAACAAATTGTATCTTTGCAACTTTGGTCTTTTTGTACCTTTTTTATGGGTATGAGAAGAAGCCGTCTATCACAGGCTGTTCTGTACCCGCTTCTGCCTGTTTCGTACCCGCACTTGATGATTTATGACAATTTAAACTACCGGAGGATTCTTTTGAAAATTGCTGGTTTATCAACAGTTAAAATAAAATCTACTGTCGATTTGGTGCCTTTCATTCATGCAGAGAAATAAAAGAACGTTGTGGTTATGTTGTTTAATAATGTGACGATGAAATGAAGAACAGGTTGATATTGTGATGGAGCTGCTGCATGCAGGACTTTATATACGTGCAGGCATGCATGTTCAAATACTAACAGGTACAAACATGGTGAACCAAAGGGTATTTTTTAGCTACAAAATTAAAACAGCAGTGTAGAAAATGTACAATGCCAGGCCATGATTTGAATCTATCCAATCCTATTAAAACGTATTCACTAAACATTTGCCAAAACTCAGCGAGCTTTCAGATACAATCCAACGTGTCAAATGTTGAGTTGGCAGCGCTGGTGTGAAGCGAATAGGATTCGGAAGTTTGTAAACTCAATCATCCACGTACATAAATCACAAACATTTCAATCATGTGATCTGAACAAATTGTTTTTTGGAAGAAATGTTTCGTCTTTCATCTGAAAGACTTCATCAGTCTGAGGTCTGCCACCAAGGTCTGTCTTATAAATAGCACCTTACTGACATGTTTCAAGCCTGTGTCTG